TTACTGGTTGAATACCTTGTCGAACCACTCCGGCTTCCCTTGCCAGGCCATGAAGATGACGGGCTACCTTCTGTACTTGATCTAGGAAGTCTCAGATGGCTGCGTCTCTGGCCTTCACCCTTTGTTGTGCTTGCTCCCAACAAAAATGCCACTGTAGACCTCCATCAAAGGGCACTATCTGAAGCTCGGCTGCTTGCTTTTTGAATCCATCTATGATAGCTTCTAACTCACCTATTGTTTTGCCATCTCTCTCATGCTGTTTCTCCAGATCAGTCATCTGGATTCTCAAGCGTTGGTTTTGATGTTGACTGTCTGCTAAGCGCCTCTGAGCAATCTTCATCTTTTCCTTCCAGGCTCTCTCATCAGGCCCCTCAAACTTTCTTTTCAGGTTGTGAGCTTCGCATTTCCAATACTCGGAGGACATTTTCAACTTGGAGTTATCTTTGACAGCATCTTGATACCCCTTTCTTAAGTCTTCGAGCTCGAAACAGACTCTTTTCTGTTCCTTTTCTAGTTTGTCCGATTTATCTTTCTGAGAATCGGCATCCAGCTTCCACTGATAGCGCTCAGCCTCAAGTTCTTTTATCCTCTGCCTCAGCTCATTATTCACAGCTTCAAACTCTGTCTTGGCTATCTCGAGTTTAGAAGGGACAGGCCTGAGATGTTCTTCCATAGTTCGGGTGTCCTCACAGTCTGGCACTGGAATATTGTCATTTTTCCTCAATCTTCACCATTCCATATAATCCAGGGTAAGCATGTTCTTGGCAGCTACAATGTCCATTCGGAATATTTTCTTCCAAGAATCGGCTGCTTCCTTGATCATCTTCTTATAGCTGTTACCGTGATACCCAAACTCTGATCCAGATAGGCCGCATGTTGCTGGGACAAACTGACGTGCCCCATACTGTCTCAGTGCTAACAATGGAGCATACCCAACTGCACCCCAAAGTCCTAGCAAGGTCATCGTGTCAGAGCCCTCACACCGGAAAAGAACATCACTGAGGAACAACCAGGGGGCTCTTCAGGCAATATCTTGGTCCTGAAGATGAGTGAAGACTTTCATCCACTTCTCTTTTGAAGCACCTTCATGCCATTTCATGGTGATGAACTCTCCCAAAGGTGAATAGGTAGTGCTAAATCGACGGTAGGCAACCCCGTTGGTCTTCCAAAAGTGGCTGTGAATCCATACTTGAAGGAGCTGAACACACCCAATGAATCTTCCTCCACCAACTCTTCTGCAATGATTAAGAGAATGAAAGGTTTCTGCTAAGATGGCTGGTGCTGGGTTGACTTGTTTCAGTAGTTGTTCAAATAATTCCACCACGACTGCGTCAATGCACCCCAAAGCCTTCGGAAAAATAATCAAACCGTACAGACCTAGTGCGAAAAGGTATATAGTTTTCCACTCATCAGGGTGGTTCTTCATTAATTGCCTTATGTGGATCCATTCAATTCCTTCCCCACTGCCTCTGCGCTGAGTCCGATCAATTACCCATTTCTCGTCTACTCCCGCGACTCTGGCCAGTGTACTCTTGAAAGGCTGACTTTTGGTGTGCTTAACGTAGACTCGCCCTAGTTTGATGTTTTCACAGTGTAACAGTGTGGTGTATTCTTCGATAGTAGGCACCATGTCCTCCTAGTTAAAAGTGAAACAATGTATCCCGGGTTCCAGAATTGGACCATGGCTTTAATCAAGGGCTTATCAATCCTAACGTGAAGTAAAAGTGCAATGTCACCGTACCGTTGGCTGAACTTTTGTTTCCGATCATTCTTCCAACTGTCCCAGATATCTCGAAGCTCCTGCACATTGTTCTGTTTTAGGTTGATAGAAGCGTAGCTAACCAGCTCTGACACATAGCTTTCTTGAAGGTTGTCTCCCTTTTCTTTCTGAGTCTTCTCGGACCATAGTCGTACCTCGGGGTTCTTAGTCTCTTGTATTACAACACCTTTGTCCATTAATTCAGATTATTTTATGTAATAAACACATTTTTGGTGGATCAACACCTCTTTTAAATGATGCAGGTGATGAAAACAAAATAAAAGAGAACAAAAACAAAAAGAGTTAGTGAGGTAAATCAAAATAATAATAAAAATGAAAAATCCTATCCCACATGATATCTACCCCTCATGCTTATTATTCCTAGCCGGACATGATCTCTATCCCGTAAGTTAGTTTTGAACAAGTCCTAACCGCATAAATTTCTAGTTCACATGCTTTGAACAGAAAGTAAAGCAGGAAATAATTCCGGCATCCTAGGGTTTGAAATGAGGTCTTGGGGTGGGCCCTAACTCTTTGTAGTCTCCGGGTTTAGGTTCTAAAAAAAAGGTACCCGAGTTCTCCTTGCTGGTGCCCCCTTGGGCTTACCAGACCCTTAGTCCTAAACCCATCACAGGCTTGTGTGGACTAAGTTAAACTCGAGAGGACACATTCCCTTATGCCCATACGGAGAATAAATTCACACGAAGGCATAAGGTATATGAATCCCGAAGGTTACTTGCTAGGCCCATACGATGAATAAATTCACACGAAGGGGTCGCTTTCACCCCCACTTAAAACGGGTTCGGAGCTCGGGTATAGAGCCTTTAGATGAAAAAAAGAAAACTTTGAAGGCTGAAATCATGAAAAAACGATTAGTCCAACTATTTACTCGAAAATAATCAAAATTAAGTAAAAATGATCGAAATATTACCTTAAAATTTAAACTTACCCTTTTCGTTAAAAAAATAATTGGAAATTACCTTAGCCTGACTCACTTACCGTCCCCAGCGGAGTCGCCAAGCTGTCGCAACCGTCTTTCAGTTGGGCCCCGGAATTGGGCTTCGACTTAGAAAAATATGGATTGGAGTCGCCACCGATCATTTATTTAAAAATAAATGGGTTGATCGGATACCTTATTTCTTACCTGATATGCGTCTTACCAGAAATATATCGGGCTCGGGAGTCAGTTACGGTTAAGGAAGGATTAGCACCCTTGAACCGCCCTTTCGGCACTACGTAATTTCCAGTTGTCTTAATTAAGAAAAATAACAAGTTAAATTAAAAGGTAAAGTTTCGATCCTAATTACTTACCCTTGATTGATTTGAAAATATCCTTTAAAAAAAATCGAGAAATGTGTTAGATAAACAAGGTAAAGAAAACAAATAAGATACAAGGGAAAATAAATAAATAAGTAAGATAAAAAAAATAGTAAAGTAATAATTATATATAGTAATATTTGAAAAAAGGAAAAAATATAATATATATAATATATATATATATATATATATATATCAAAGTATTAATAAAATAAATAAGCTATATATATACACCAAATACTTAAAAATAGAAAAGATACCCTCCCAATTCACCGAAAGTGGGGGGCTTTAGTAAGAAATAAGACAAAAAATGGGCCCTCTAGGTTAGTAGTATAATATAATGTTTAATAATAATAATAAAAGACACAAGATTTTTTTTTTAAAAATAATATATAATAATGAATAAAAAAACGAAAATAATAAAAATAATATAAATATATAAAGTTATAAGATATATTACATAAATAAAGAAATAATCAAATAAAAATAATTAAGAATATATATTTAATAATAGGTATATAAATAAACTATTAAAAGTATAAAAATATATACGACTAGATAAAGATAATTACAATATATATATAGTAATATTAGACTTATAAGTAAAATATTAAAGAATATATATATAATAATAAAAAATATAGTAAAAATAAATGAAAATAATTTAATATATATATATATACATATAATAATAATAACATGAATAATAAAAATAAATGAATAAAATATCCATATAATAAATAAATGGACTAATATAGATTTTTAAAAAGCTCTTCCCCTCCTTTAACCGAAAATCAAACCGGTTTTTAAAAATAAGCCTCGGGGTAGATCTACGTTCGAAACTTCGAAACCCCACCCATTTTGGTCATCGACGCAACCCACGTTTTGGGTTATTCGAACCAAATCTCAAGAAAAATAACGTGCACATGCAAAAGAAAGAAAAAAGAAAATGCTACATTTTATTTCCTTTTCGAATCCTTTACAATAGTTTTGCCTTTGTATCTTCCCGTGCTTTCCTCTATGTTTTCTGTGTAAATCGTGTCTTACAATGGTGAGTTACAATGGCTATTTATAGTGCTTGTGGATCCTATCTTTAGGAATTTAAATCTTAGTAGAGCTCTATCCTATTTTTAGGAGTTTGAATCCTAGCAAAATTTTATCCTATTTTTAGGAGTTTGAATCCTAGTAGGACGAAAATGTGTGTTGACACTTATCGAAAGCTTAATTTATTTATATTAATAATAGATTTATAAAATATATTAAAAAACTATCATTTTTTAATCAATTATCAAAACGTTTAATTTATTTACATTAATAATAATTTTTACAATTTATTCAAAGATAGTGTGTTTTCTAAGTTACTGTTTAAAAAAATTAAAATAGAATCACATTTCATCACCTTATAATATAAACTATTGGATAATTATATATTTTAATACTTAAAATCAACTTTAAAATTTAATTTGATATTTGGAGTTTTCTTTTAATTTGATATCTAAATATAGTTTTTAGTTCAAATTAATGTATAAACTTAATCTTTTTGTTTAATTTGGTTTTTATGATTCTTTAGGTCCAATTAATTATTATATTTAAAAATAATAATATTTTATAAATTTTAAAATTATTTGCATTCATTTAATTCTATCCAACCTTGATAGATCTCAATTTAAAATAATTTAATTTGAATTAAAAAAATAAATTAATATATCCAATTAAATAAAATGTCTAAGTACCAAATTAAATTAAGAAGTTAATATTTTGAATAAAAAATCCATGTACTTTTTGGAGAGAAAAATCAGGTATCAAATTGAACTTTAAAACCAAGTTCAGGTACCAAAAGTATATATCTACCTTATATTGTTCTCCACCGTTAGATATGATCCCATCGGCTTCCCATATAAAAATCCCTTAGCGCTTCTTTTGCTGCCAAACGCAACTCCTCAACCTAAAACGCAAGCTTCGAAACAGCGCCAAAGCACACCCCGGAAAAATCATGGAGGCAACTGTCTCTTCTCCTTGGGGCAAGCCCGGCGCGTGGGCTCTCGACGCCGAAGAGCACGAAGCTGAACTGGAACAGCAAAGCCACGCCGATTCTTCCACCGAAAAGCTGGCCGATTTCCCTTCTTTAGCCGCCGCCGCCACCACTAAGGCCAAGAAAAAGAAGGGCCAAACCGTATCCCTCGCTGAATTTACCTACGGCTCGGCTAAACCGAGCGAGCCTACACACTTCACTCATGAGGAGGTCCTCGCGCTCCCCACCGGCCCTCGCCAACGTGCCCCAGAGGAACTCGATCGTAACCGGCTCGGCGGCGGGTTTAAATCGTACGGTTCGAACAGATACAATAATTCCAACGGAGACGATTCGTCGAGTAATAGTAGATGGGGATCTTCTAGGGTTTCGAACAGAGATTCCAATAGAGAAATTACTCCTTCACGCGCTGATGAGATTGATAATTGGGCGTCGGTTAAGAAATCGAAGCCAACCGGTAATGGGTTTGGCGGTGGATTTGAGAGGAGAGAGAGAAGCAGCGGTGGAGGAGGGTTTTTCGATTCGCAATCCAAAGCTGATGAAGTAGATAACTGGGCTGCTAGTAAGAGTAATAATAGAAGCCCCATTGGTGCACCGCCGCCTAGGAGATTTGGGGTGGGTTTTGATAGAAGAAGCAGTTTCGATTCACTTCAACTGAGGGATTCACCTAGGGATTTGGATAACTGGGGAAAGAAAAAGGAGGAGGCTGGCAGTGGTGCTGCTGGTAGTGGTGGTGCGAGGCCAAAGCTTGTTCTTCAGCCACGTACGATAACTGTGACTGATGACTCGACGGTGCCCAAGGTCAAAGGCGCAAATCCATTCGGTGAGGCGAGGCCGAGAGAGGAGGTGTTAAAGGAAAAGGGGAAAGACTGGAAGGAGATTGATGAGAAGCTTGAAGCTATGAAGATCAAAGAAACTGTCACTGTAACAGAGAGACCGAGAGAACGAAAGACAAGCTTCGGTAACGGCCATGCACCGGCTTACAAGAGCTGGAGGAAGAGTGAACCTGTTGAAGCTGCAGCTGATGCTGATCAACCCCAAAGGTTTCTTCAATTAACTGAAATTTGATTGCTTGGTTAATTTTAGAATATATACATCACATGAACCTTGATGCCTTTTAATAAACAGAGTAAAAGTAGTATAATTGAATTTTTGCGTGTCAGGATTGTGTTGGAACAGGTGTTTTCTTACCTATATACCTGTATTTGAATAATATTTATGGGAAATGATTATACTTCAACTAGCTAAAGAACAAATAACCATGCATATTTTTCATCTCTCGTGCTTGTCTTTCCGTCTTTCACATAGTTTTCACCTTTATTTTAGCATTTACATTAAGTCTTACAAGCATGGAGAATGATATTCCTACATTTACGTTCCTTCCAAGTGAAAGTTCCTTGCTTGCAAGAACTTGTTAGTTATACTTCTAGAAAGTTAAGTCCCTTGTATTTTGGAGAGTTTGAGAGCTTCTTGGTAGTTATACTTCTCAGAAGTTCCTTGTTATATGGAAGAGTTTGAGAGCTTATCTATATTCATGAATCAGTAATAATTAACAAAGTGATGGATGGCTTTGACCCCTTGAAAAAGCATGCCTGTTAGATCCCTGTTTTGAGTTTGCTTTTGCGTGTTAATAGTGTCACATTAACATGAATTTGCTAATTCTGATATTTTTCTTTGTGGAATCCAGTGCTGAGAATACGGAAAACGGCCATGTCACAGAATGCGAAGCTTAAGGTCCAAAGAAAGTGAGAAGAAAAGCTTTATTTGAACTTTTTTGGATGTCCAAGAGGTTAGAGTTGATGATGAGACTTTTTTTTATTGTTATTATTGCCAATGCAGTATTTAGAACAATTTTGATAGGGCCATGAATTGGTTGGCATTGGCTTTTGCTAAAGACGGTCTTGTTTTCTTTTCATAGTTACCTAATTGTTATTAGGGTTTTCATAGTGTTTTTTTATTGTTAAAGTTCTCTGTTTTCATTCATATTTGTGACCATGAGTTGAGATTATAATTGTTTGTATTACTGACCAAATAAATCAACGTGTTTTCTTTTGGTTCTTGCATTAATTCTTTACCTAGCAACTCTCGTCTTTGAGCACCATCTATACGTGTGTTAGCTTTGTTCATGGACTCGTAGTGGGAAATCTAGAAATATTTTCAAGAGGTATGTTTTTTCATAACATTTTTGGTTGGATTTTTTTTTTCTGTTGTGTTTTAGCCTTATATTAGGTTGCCGTGTTCTAGTGATCAAAACTTATCAACTTAACAGCGTCAACGTTCTAGTGATTAAAACTTAATAAAACAATGACGTGGATAATCAAAACTTGTCTCTTTTTGAATTTGGTGGATAATCAAAACTTATCTCTTTTTGAATTTGGTGAGCAAAAAAATAAAAGGCAAGTGACCATTTATGTAGTTTTCTCTTTTAATAAAAATAATAGAAAATGTATAATTTTTATACGGATTGAATTAACCGGGTTACTTAGTAATATTTTTAGATTATAATAAACGAAATTCAGGTACTACATTCAAACAATTTATATATTTATTTTATATGATTTTTTAAAATATTTTTTATACGGGATTTGTTATTATACTACTAAAGTCACCAACTGTCACTCTTTCGTTGTTTTTTCTTTTTCTTTTCTTAATATATTTCTCGAAAGCTACACTCCACGGTTCATGCCTTGAAATTAAACAACATTTGGTTTCAATCTCAATCACCAACCGAATTTTGCTTAAAATAGTACACAATCTTCAATCAACCATTACTAATTTCATTTTAGTATTGGAAATTCACCTTTATGCTTACTATAATTTAGATTCTTGAATATCGTATGCGTCTCGTGTTTGAACTATATAAACTGAGAAACAGGAGCTTAAAGTTGATACAAATGCCAATGGAGAAATGTTTGATACCGGCCTGGATCCTGGTTCTCACCACCGCCATGACAGTGGCTCGTTCGCTCGGTTATTACTCCGATGACGGCCCATTTGTTCCAGCTCCGTAAAAAGTAACCGATCGCAACTTCTTTTTACACGACACCATGAGCGGCAACAACCCTAGTGCTGTCGTCGTAGCACAACCAAACACGATGACTACCTTCGGTCGGGTGGCAGCTGTCGATGATCCGCTCACTGTCAGCCTGAGCGTAAAGTCGGAGGTCGTTGGAAACGTTCGAGGCCTATGGGTGTCGAGTGCCCAAGACGGTGCATCTCTTATCATCTACATGGACTTTGAGTTCACGCTAGGTGAATTCAATGGCAGCTCCATCAGTGTATTCTCGAGAAATCCGTTAACTGAATCGGAGCGCGAGCTCACGGTGGTCGGAGGGAGAGGGAAGTTTAGGATGGCGCAAGGGTTTGCACGACTTGAGACTTATTTCGCGAATTTCACGAACGGAGACGCCATTGTTGAGTATAATGCGACTGTGATTCATTACTAAGACGATTGTTTATTTCATCAATAAAGTTGGTCCCTCTTTGAGACTTTATATGCCATATTTTAGAAATTCTAACTGTTCAATTTTCTTGTTTATTATTTCTACCTCTAATGATGTTCTAATTAATATTAAATCAGATTAATTTGAATCATGCAATCATAAAATGACCATTAAATTTGTCTAATTATTATAATGGTTATTAATTTTATCGAATTGTTATAAATTAATCATTAAATTTTATCTAATTGTTATACAATGATCACTAAATTTATCAAACTTTATTATTACTATAATGTTACAATGGCATTTTGTAATAATATGATAAATTTATAATCATTTTATAACTTCTAAAAGTTCAGTGATCGAAACGATCGTTTATAATTTAAAATGTAACTTCTGAAAAATAAACTTCTGAAAGTTCATTTTGTAATAATATGATAAATTTATCTAATTTACAATTTGACAACTTGGCCACCGATATTTTATCCTGATTTGATTGCAATGGGTTGAGGACTAAAAATTAATAATTAAAAATGAAATATGAAAGCTAATTTAGCGAAACACACGCTCAAAAGTCAACTCTTTCCCTTGTAGCTGACAACTAGCGACCTTGAAAGCTGCCCTCCACGCCTCAGAATACAAATTTTTCCACTCACCAACCCACCTTCACTTCAATCTGCCATAGTTCGAATCGAATTTTAATTTATCAAATTTAAATAATTAAAAAACCGAAGATTAAAACATCGTGGTTAAATAATCATAATTTTTTGATTAATGAATGTGGCTCTTTTCAAGTTTATATACCAAATAGACAAAAAAAAGGTTCAAGTAATGAATAAGTAGTATAAAAGAACCTTAAGTATCAAATAAATTTTGAAAAAAAAACTCCCGGTACCAATTAGGTACACAAAATCAAGTTATGAGATCCAATTTTAAAGAAATACGACATTCATTGATTGACTAAAGGTGATTCATTTAGGGATGGATATGGGTCAGGTCAGATTTTCAGTCTACTAGACCCGACCTAAAAATTATAAATCCCCAACCCGACTCGAATCCAACCGGTTTTTTGAGATAAATTCAAAACTCTACCAAACCCGAAATAATATATTTATTAAAAAATATTATTTTTATTTAATAAAAAATAGGGATTTGATTGAAAGAATATAATATATAGAGGGGAATTATCGCAATTATCTCTAAATATATAAGATAAAATTACAATTTTTTCGGGTCGTTTCGGGTTGGGTATTTTTCACTCTAAACTCAAACCCTACCCTATCCGACCCAAACATAACCTTAGAAAAACCGACCCGACCCGAACCTGCCTCGAATTTTTTAAAAAGAATTCATCCCAATCGGGTCGGGTTGGGTCAGAACCCGTCGAATTCAGGTCCCATGTCCATCCCTATATACATTAACAAATTTTTCATTGGACTAAGGGTATGTTTGTTTCAAGTAAACATTTTCTGGAAAACGTTTTTCTCGTTTTTCAGTGTTTGGTTAAAGGAAAACTAGTTGTTAGCGTAAAAAGTTTTTCTGGTCAACAGAATTTCTTTTATGTTTTCTGGAAAATGACTCACGGCCTGATTTTTCGTAAGTTATTTTTCAAACTTTTCACGTCAAAGAATAAATACTCAAAATAATTTTATTTTTATGAATTTAATATTAATAAAATATTTCAATATCATTTTAATTAAAATGTTAATTATTAAAATAGTTAAAATATATTTATTAATATTTCTAATAATGTAATAATATTTTGTAGAATTATAATAAAATACTCAATTATATTATAGTAATATAATATAATATATTTCTATTTTAATAATATATAATAAATTATTAAAAATATTATTTATTAATTTAATAGAAATAATATTAATAAATTATCATGAATAATATTATTTATGTATTTAATATTAATTTAATAATCCAATAATATTTTAATAATGATATTTAAAATATATTAATTACTTTTTAAAATATAATATAATAATATTACTTAAATAAATAACTAATATAATTTATAATATTTTTATTTCAATAAAATGTACTAATCTTAATATTTTTATTAATAAAATTATAGAAATAATATTTTAATAAATAAATAAATAAAATATTTTAATATATTTTAAAAATAATAATATTAAGTTTTATTATTTATTGTATTTAATATTTGTAATAAATATATATATTTTAAAATTTATCAACTAGTGGAAAATGCTTTACACAACATCTTCCAAATACAGTAAAATGTTTTTAAGAAAATGTTTCTATGATGTGTGCATTAGACTCGTATAGTTTTATAAGTGTTAATAAAAGTATGAAAATATTGGATGAAAATAAAATTTAGGTATTAATTTGGAAGTAAAAATTTTTTAGGCACCAATTCTAAAAAAATTGTTTAATTTAGATATCAATTTGGAAGCAAAAATTCTTAGATATCATCTTTAAAAAATATCTAATTCAAATATCAAATATATATTTAAACCATTTAAATTCTTAATTTGGTCATACAATTTTATTTTAATTTTTATGACCTAAATCTCTATATATATTTTATGTGATTAATTTAGGAAATATAAATCAATAGTAATTTCTATAATTATGACAATAAAGGTATTTCAATTAATTGTCAATGAAACTTTTTAAGAAAATTTAATATTTCCTTTATTGTAAAATACATTAAATATGAAAAAAAAAGCTTAAGTGGTTGAATTAGCCATGTGATAATCACAGTAGCTGAATCTCATTACCAATGGAGAAAAGCTTGATGTTGGCCTGGATTCTTGTTCTCAGCACGGCCATGGCGGTGCCACCGTGCCAAGGCTATTACTCCGATGACGAGCCACATGTTCTGGCTCCGAAAAAAGTGACCAAACTACACTTCTATTTTCATGATACTTTGAGCGGCAAAAATCCTAGTGCAATCATTGTTTCCCGTCCTAACACGACGATTGCCTCCAATAGCATCTTTGGCACCGTGGTAGCAATTGATGATCCACTCACGGTTGGCCCTGAGAAAACGTCGGACGTCGTTGGGAACGCTCAAGGCCTATGGGTGTCGACCGGCCGAGACGTTCCATGCCTTACTATCTACATGGACTTTGGGTTTACAAAAGGTGAATTCAATGGCAGCTCCATCAGTGTGTTCTCGAGGAATCCGATTACCGAAACGGAGCGCGAGCTCGCGGTGGTCGGAGGGAGGGGTAAGTTCAGGATGGCACAAGGGTTTGCACACCTTAAGACTTACTTCTTGAATCCCAAGAATGGTGACGCCATTGTTGAGTATAATGTGACTGTGATTCATTAGTAAGATAATAACTTACCGGTTTTATTTTTGTTGTTTATTGCACCAATAAAGTTGAACCCTTTGTGTTTTAGATAACCTAATCAAAAAGTTATCCCTTGTAATAAGTTATAAATCGAATTGAATTATAATTCGTTAAATTCGAATCAAATTATCATCTCTACACGAAATTAAACCCTAATTTTGTGGAAAAAGGTTTCAATACCTAACCATCAAGTTAACTTCATAACTTGTTACTGCTTTAGAATTTACTAAGCTCTAAACTTAATTTTTATCAACATTTACAAACTCCAAACACTAACAAATCGATTGATTAAAATAAATGTAAAATTAAACAAATTTTACTTTGCTAAAACCGAAATTATTTACTATGTTATTTCAAGACGTTGACTATTAGTTGATTAACATTTTTTATTATTTTGACTTAAAATGAAACATCGAAGATTAAAATAGTTACAAAAATAGATAATAAATTATCCATAATGTTGCAAGTAATTTTTGACGTTATGCTTATTATTTTTATTATTTGAATCTAAATTCACTCATAAAAATAATACAATGTATCAATTTTTTTAATCTCTAATAAAATTATCTTTGTTGTTTAATTTGATAACGACATTTGACAATCAAGCATTATTGAATTAAATAAACCATATTAATTGTTTAATTTTATAATCTTTATAAGCTATAAAATATTCGACAGTTGGATCGTTATTATTGTATACATAAGATTGTAATACAAAGTCAATGGATAGAAACATCAATGGAGAGAACTTTGATATCGTGCTGGATTCTTCTCTGCATCCCCTTGGCTCCGGCGTACAGCCAATACTACTCGACGACCGTACCGAGTGTTCCCGTGTCGAAGAAAGTTACCGATATCCACTTCTTTTTCCACGGCACCATCGGTGGCCCAAACGCTACAGCAGTCCCCGTAGCCCGTGCTAACATCACGGGAAACGGCAACTCTTCACCAGGGCCATCGTACAGCATAGTTGTCGACAGTGCTCCGCTAACCGTTGGCCTCGAGCCAACATTGGAGATCATCGGGAATGCTCAAGGACTCGAAGTATTCCCCGGCCGAGATACAACCACTGTGGTGGTGTACTTGGATTTCGGGTTTACTACAGGCGATCTAAACGGCAGCTCTATCGGTGTGTTTTCGAGGAATCCGGCGACTGAGACGGAGCGCGAGCTAGCAGTGGTTGCTGGGAGAGGAAAATTCAGGTTAGCTAAAGGGTTTGCCTTGCTTAAGACTCGTTTAATAAACAACAACAGTTTCGTTGTTGAGTATAATGTGACTGTAATTCATTACTAAATGGACGTGTGAGAGTTAAATCATCAATAAATAATATGCACATCGAATTCATATTTATATCCTATACTCGTATTGGATTCGAATAATATAATCTTCTCTTATTGTATCTTATAGTAGATTAATTATAATATAGAAACTTTTTATTTATTTCTTTTTAGTTTTACCATGAGACAACGACTTAATTATACTAAGAGAACAAAAAAGAATGCAAATATGGGAAATCGAAAATAATTAATCGGATAGTTTTGTTGTACGATTGCCTAATTTAAGGTTAATTTAATATTGTTTTCAATCTAAAACGTTATCCTATTCAACCCAAAAATTATAAAAGTTTATAATATTTTCGGTTGTAACTAAAAAGTTATATTGCGAGGGGTTTAAGACTTGTAACAAAAAATGTTACTATATTCAAACTTAAAAACGGAACTCTTAATAAAATTTCGGTTACAATCTATTTCTATCGTTTTTAACGATGCCGTTTTTAATTTTATATTAACAATTTATATTTTAGAATTTCCTCAAACAATATAACGAAGTTCCACACTCATATCTCAATCATGATCCAACTTATTTTCTAAATTTATATTATATTATACCATACAAAATAAATTTATAATATTATAATAAAAAATATTAAAAAACATAAAAATAATCGGTTAAATTTAGATGATGTCATGACACATGACATGTTAACAACTAAGTACATATGAAATTTTCATGTCAATAATACACGTTGATTGTTAATTAATTAATAATTTTCATTCATCATAGATTATTTTGACCAAAAAAAATTTAAAGACTAAAATATTCTAAAGCATATAAAAAAATAAAATAATACATTCAAATAAATGTTGAAAATAACTTTAACACTATGTATTTAAATGCACAAATCAAATTTCCTCAGGAGTTAATATAATAGTTGTTATTCTTGGAGGTCTTAAGTTCGAGCACCAATGATTATAGTAGAGGTGATTGAGCGATCATTGTCGTAGTAGAGAGTATTTAGAACAAATACTATTTTATAATTACCTTAGCTCAATAAAAAAATATTATGTATTTAAATAATGGAATAACATGTTTATAATAATATATATTTTCAAAAAGCGATCTATTTATAAGTGGATTAATAATTTAATCTAATAATTTCAATAATAATAATAATAATAATAATAATAATTTAATTTAGTGTAAATTTTATCAAACAAGTCACCTAACTATTTAAATGTATTTAATCAAGCCATTTGTCGTTAACGTTTGACAGAAGTGTTGAATAGACAATTAATAAAATTAGTATAGTTATACATTTGATCATCAATACTTACATATTCAATGAAATATATTAAATTATAAAAAACAAATTTTAATTAAACGGTGACACGTATCACTATCTGATTGGATTGAAAACAAATAAAAAAGACGAGCAAGTTAAAGGGTTTAGGAGAACGGTCTAAACTTAAGACCTCACGCTTCTTAGGCACACCTTAACCATTCAGCCTACCCCATCATTTATATAGTGAAATATAATATATATATAATTTGAGCATAAGTTAAATGTAAGAGTTGACAACACAAAACCACTGAAGTAATTCTTATATTCGATTAATAAATGGATAGATTTTATATAGTTTTAAATATGAATTTATACAAGATTAAAGGAAAAACTAAATTTAAGTTTTATACAAGATTAAAATTGATTTCTAATTAAACATTTTAACTATACAATCTAATAAAAATTAATTAAAATATAAATGATTTGTATATTTTATTTTTTTAATAAAGAATAAAATTATTAATTAAATTAAGAATAGTATCCATTTTTCGACTATAACTACAATTATTAGATTATATATTTTAAACATAACTAAATTAAGATTAAACAGTTTAATATTATATATTTTATTTTAATAAAAAGTAAAATTATTAATTAAATTAAACATATCAATTTTTTAGACTATACAAGTAATTATAAAATTATAAATGTGAAAAAAGAATATTAAATTTAGTTTAAAATATATAAAAAATAAATTCAAAATTTCTTTTAATTTGATATAAATTAATGATTAAAAACATATAAAATCTATCCAGATGTTAATCATTTATAAGATTTGTTTTAGTGGTTTTGTGTTGTCAACTCTTACGTTCGGCTTAAGTTCAAATCTTACAATAGCTATTTTTGTTTTTGATATTGTACAGACTTATTTTCGTTTGGATTTATTTTTTTATATTATTTTTTTCATTATGTATATATATAGTAATATAGTATAATTTTTAAAAATGTTTTTTTAAAAATATAATATATAATTTTTTGAAAACATTTCGAATATATATATATATATATATATATATATTATAGTTTTTGAAAACATTTTTAATATATATATATATATATCATATATAATTTTTGAAAACATTTTTGAAAACATATATATTATATAGTTTTTAAAATATTTTTTGAAAACATTGTTGAGTTAATCGATTGACTGAATCGGCCAAGAGGGGGGTGAATTGGCAATAAAAATTTTGGTGGAAGCTTTTGCAGAAAATTGAAAGAAATTGCATAGCGATTTAGAGTGGTTCGACTTTATCAACCAAAGTCTACGTCCACTATCTTAGCTATCCACACTAAGGATTTTCCAACAAATTCACTAATTTGTTCTTTCTTTTGAGGCCAAAGAGATAACCTTACAACTCCCTCAAGAATATACCCCAATTCTTGAGAACACTCTTTTCTCAAAGAGATACAAATTTGTAAACTTACAAGAAAAACCTCACAAGGTAAATCTGTTTGCACAATTCTAGAACAAAGAAAGAACACTAAAAAATAAATACAATTGAGCACAATAAGTGTTCTTGAAAGCAAAATGAATATTGAAAAATAGGCTTGAAATGCTCAAACTTGAGGTTTGATGCTTTCTCTTTGATTCTCTCTTGATTCTAATTGCTTGATGTTTCTTGTTATTGATCAATGGCTTCTAAGCTTGCTTAAATACACCTTGAATTACTTCTGAACGTTGGGGATGATTAGAGAAGATAATATAGCCGTTTTAGTGTGAAAACAATTAATAAAACAGCTTGGAGCGTGGGGGGAATCGGTACCCCTTATGGGGAATCGGTTCCCTAAGTGTAAAATTCAAATATTTTGACCGTTATACAAGGGGTAATCGGTACCCCCTGGGGGGGGAATCGGTTCCCTCCGAGCATACTGGAATTCTCGGAGCCAAACCATTCAGGGGGAATTGGTACCCCCTTGGGGGGGAATCGGTTCCCTCTGAGCAATCTGGAATTTTTGGCTTTGAAATGGTTCGAAATACTTTGTAAAATTATTTTGAAATTGTTTTAAGATTAAAACTTAATTTTACACTTGAGTAAGGATTAAAAATGATTTTTGAAATATTTGGAGTAATGATTTGATATTCGAATAGTTATATCGAATATATTTAGAAAATCATTTGGAAAATCTTAAAATTCATTTAACTTAATTTGTTATATCGAAATATCAAAATGTTTTCAACAATCTCCCCCTTTTTGATATAACAAAACATTTTAGTAACTTTAAGATTTTGAAATTAAGTTTTGAAATTACTCCCCCTTACTTTAACACTTCTCCCATTTATCATTTAAAAACACATTTAACACTTCTCCCCCTTTTTGTTAAATCAAAAAGACATTTTAAAGAATTTAAACAAGGTTTTGAAATCATTTAGCCAATTGATTATATATAATATAAGCTGCTAAGATTACAAGCAAGAAAAGCGTTAGCCATTAGTTTCATAATCAATATTCATAATTAATGTGATATGGCAAAATTGGTCATATATCTAACATGAAGTAAATGATGCAATAATGAATAAATTTAATCACACCAAATAGATAAGTTCTCACCATTCATAAATCCAAACAAATCCAAAATCAATCAATCCACAAATTCAAACATTCCAAAATATTAAAAATGTTAAAACAATAAGTTTGGAGTTCAAAGCAAAACATAGAATCACATATCAGGATCAGGAGGAGGAAAACGAGCTCGCATAGCGGCCATTTCGTGAGTGAGTTCATTAATACGCGCATTGGTTGCTTTATTGTTTGCACGCATTTTCCGAAGAATTTCTAATTGTTGAGCTCCCATTGTAGATAAATGGGGCTCTATAGAAGTAAAGCGCGAATCCATGGTAGCATATCGGAAATTGAATGTCTCCATAAAGGATTGAAAATATGGAGGTTTGATGCGTTTGTTGTGCTTGCTCCTCGGGCTGCTCAGGCTCATCTTCGGCTTCATCGATGTCTCGCATTAATTACTCAAGCTCGAGATCTTCGTCAGCTTTGGGTGGAGCTTGTGAAGAACTAGCTCCCGGAGTATTTGTAGAAGATCGAACCCATTCACCAGTTTCCTTATCCTTAATCCATCACGCTCTCGTTAAGGAAAGAAGGTTAATTTGTTTCTTAAGGGGAAAAACGACATCTAGAATGACTCTAAGCCCAGCTTTGGAAAACAGATTACTCAAAATGCAACCGTAAAAAAGAGATGAACAGAGTTTCTTGTTAGGAACAAGATTTACAGTTTCAACAATTTTAGCAAAAATAATCTGAGGTAGGTTAATTTTAATATTGTTTTCGAAACAATGTAACCACCAAAGATCTAAGGCTCTAAGAGTAGAATAACGACCTCCGGATGGTCGAAACCACCAAGAAATCATTAGATGAAGAAAACGTTCATGAAGGTCTAAGACACTTGCACTATCCCTTCTTTTATAACGAGATCCTAAAACATTTTTTTCATTTGAAATACCATCATTATCTAATCCGAATGTATTGGCTATGTAAGCCGAGTCAATATATAAGAATTGTCCTAGGAGGTAGGAACGAATTCCTATTGTTTCGGTTTCGGTTTGGTTTTTAACACAAACGGCATTAGAATAGAAAATACGAACAAGTTGATGGTAAACGATGGGTTCAAGATCAAAGAGTTTATCAAATTTCCACTCTTGTAAAAGAGGAAGATA